GACAACAAAGTACATTGTGAAAACTCCTGTACTGTACATGGGTACTCTCTGTTATACAATCCAAACAATGTGCATTGTGTATACTCCTGCACTGTACATGGTGACATGTGTAAAACAATGAAAATAGTGTATAACGTGTATACCTCGTTCATGTACATGTAAATGGTAGCCTCTGTTATACAATGCAAATGGTGTACAGTGTGTACTGTGCATGGGTACACTCTATTATAACAGCAAAACAGACTATATATTCTTTACTGCACATGTGTGCCCTCTATTGTAGACTCCAGATCAGTGTGCACTGTGTATATTCCTGTACTGTACATGTGTGCCCTCTATTTTAGACTCCAGATCTGTGTGTATTCCTGTACTGTACATGTGTGCCCTCTATTGTAGACTCCAGATCAGTGTGCATTGTGTATATTCCTGTACTGTACATGTGTGCCCTCTATTGTAGACTCCACATCAGTGTGCATTGTGTGTATATTCCTGTACTGTACATGTGTGTCCTCTATTGTAGACTCCAGATCAGTGTGCACTGTGTATATTCCTGTACTGTACATGTGTGCCCTCTATTGTAGACTCTAGATCAGTGTGCATTGTGTATAGTCCTGTACTGTACATGTGTGCCCTCTATTTTAGACTCCAGATCAGTGTGCACTGTGTGTATTCCTGTACTGTACATGTGTGCCCTCTATTGTAGACTCCAGATGAGTGTGCATTGTGTGTATATTCCTGTTCCTGTATTCCTCATTCAGTGTGAATCAGTGTGAATGAGCCCTGCGTTGTCTGGCACTGAGACTGTAATAGAAGTGTGCTGTGTGTTATTGGGACGGGTACGCAGGAGCACATAATGTCGCTCAGTCTGTTTGGGAAATTTCGCAGCAAATGTCCCAACAGCTGAAAGCATAATGGCAGCTGTCCTCTTGTGTCACCGAGCCAGGGACACGCACAGACATAGCCAGGGGCTGCCCAGAGCCACGCTTTCCTATTCCCAGCCTACAGCCCACATGATCAGACATGGCTGGAACTATTTCATGGCACGCTGTATGGGTCAGATCTGCGTGTTGTTATGTGCGTACACTTTGTGTACAGTAATGTGGACTATGGATTAGACTCAGAGTATCAGAGCGCTGTAGTATGGAGCTGTGTTATTGGTCGGTTCGCACAACTCTGCCTCCAAATATCCTTGCAGTCCGGGGACAAATGAGGTTTGACTTGTGATTGTCTGTTTGTATTCCTCTTGTATTGTATTCTGTTTGTTGTAGTTCTTTTATGTATTCTGATTCTATACATCTTCAGGCTCATGTACTAAGATTGCAGAGAACAGTTATTATTATGATGCAGCGAACGTGGGGGGGGGGAAGTTTTGTTAGCGATTGTGGTGCGTTCCAGCAGCTACCGCTCTGGAACGCACCGCTTTCGGTGTGAACAAGCCCTAAGAGAACAGTCCTTCTGATGCACGCGCAGTAAAAACAAAAGCAGCAATCAGAATGTCTTTTTATTGATATGACAGCAAACTCTGGCTTACTGACTGGCTGGCTGGATGGCTTTAGTGGGTGCCGTTTGCTACGTCTCTCATTGAAATCCATTGATCTCCATTGAATAATACAGTGAATTCCCCTTTATCCGGCATCCACGGCGATTGGTAGATTCCGGATAAATTTTGTTTCTGGTTGCTTGAGAGTTACTATGAAAAACAGGTCTAACTAATGCCATACCCCATATTATACCATAAACTCTGTATTGACTTCATATTAATATTGAAATGCAGTCATCAAAAGCAAATGAAGACAAATAGACACACGATCATTTCCAGGATAATACATGCCGCAGATCAGCAAAACAGTGAGCACACAGGGGATTTTCTTCTGGTTAGATGAGAGTTCTGGTTAGTTGAATACCGGATAACTGAGAGTTTACTGTAATACAGTGTAGTGTGTGTGTGGGGGGTGCAATAACCCAGGCAAGCAATCACACCACACAACATTGCTGTGTTTCTTTTGTTGGCTATTTTATAACAAATGAAAAGCTCTGTTTTTGTTTTTTTTTAAGATAGTGTAGTTATCAATGGTATAATGCAGGCAGCCTTGACTATCCAGCGTGTGCAAAACTACAGGGTTTTGCATGCTTCTGCCTCTGGGCGTTATGCCCGTAGCTGTCTTGCAATGCCTAATAGAATTTGTGGTGCCGCAATACCTGGAGTGACGAGGATGCCGCCTACCACCGGTATAATGTAACCATTAGCAACTACTAAATGTCATGCGTTCATTAAATAATATGCTCTGAGAAGTGAATCTAAGCAACCCTAATTTATACAGTCCATCAGAAAGTACCTAATGAGCCCGCTGTGTACACATTCATATAGAACTAACACCAGCTATAGATCATGTGAGCTTTGTATTCACACAGACATGCAGACCTGTACAGCTTGCACACCCGTGTCGAAACCTGTGTCCAAGAGTCAAGCCGTTGCGTGCAGCCACCTGTAGAACTCAATGACAGGATGCGGCTGCATGCTGGTAAACACTGATCTGAACTTGTACATCTGTACAGGCATGGATGCACACCCATGAAGGCAGGCGTGTACATCCAGTTGTGCGCAATCGTACCTTCACGGATCATCAGAATGGCTTTTACCAGCGTGCAGCCATATCCTGCCATTGAGTTGCACAGGAGGCTGCATGCAACAGCTGTACTGCCGGGTGCAGGATCTGCATGGATGTGCAAGCTGTGCGGCTCCAGACATCCATGTGAATGATGCCTAGCAAAGCGAAAATGTTCTACAATGAACATTCAATAAAATATTACTAATACTGTAAATACTATTTAAAAATAGCAAATCGGTGTGTTTTGTTTTGACACAGACACATCTATTGGCTATTTTGTAAGAAGTATTGAGGGTTAGTTCACACAAGAAACTGCATCACAACTGTGTGCGTCTGCGCAGTTGCATTGCGATCCCTTTTTACGCGTTTGTGATGCATTTTTTATGTGTTTTTTCCCCCTGCATGTCCCTGGATGATGCCACAATCAATTCTGTTTTTTTTCCCCGTTGCGTTTCAGTGCGTTTTGATACGCTTGCATGCATTTCGTGCAGTTAGATGCAGGTAAACTAGGACAAGCAGTACTTTTTCTGACTGCATCTGAACGTACTGCAATGGTGTGAATACAGCACAGGAAAGCCCATAGGAAAGCATTGTGGTGTATTTTGACTGCAGCAGTCAAAATAAACGGACTGCATCACAACTGCATATGGTGTGAACTGGCCCTTATTAACCTCCCTGGCGGTATTCCCGAGTCTGGCTCGGGGTTCATCTTCAGTACCAAGAGCGGTAACCCCGAGCCACACTCGGGATTTCGCAAAAGTGTCACTTACCTTGTCCAGCGAGCCTGCGGTGTCCTCTGCTGTGTGCGCCCGGCCAATGCCGGCATTCGGCTTTCAGTTTCTTTTTCGGGTGTCACAGCGGGGGGCGGAGCCGGCGGGAAATCAAAAGTAAAAACATGACATTTACACACAATACAATGTAATTGCTATAATTACATTTATGTATGAAACCATTTCACTTCAATTGTAACCCTAGAGTAAATCTGAGGAATAACTCTCCTAAATCTGTCCAAAACAAGAGTCTAGTAGACATCCCGGATATGATAAAGTTTGAAACACGAAAAGTAATGTTATATTGCATTTTACTTTTTTTAACTTTTCTCCATGTTTTGCATTTTAATTGTTTATGTGTCATCAGATCTGAAATTATCTCCTGGTTTTCATATAAGTTAAATGCTGATTTCTAATTTGCTAAATTTATAAAAACTGGAGCAGACAAATTCTGGAGCAGCCAATCAGCTTCTTTGCTCAGGTAAGATTTGAAAATGAGGCAGAGAGACTGATTGGTTGAAGTGCAAATCTGCTCCATATTTTGTCTGCTAATATTTTGATGAATCCCCCCCCCCACCGCCCTATATGTGTATGCGGTCTAATTTGTAGAGAATAGCTGCAAGTCCAGGCAATCAGAATTTTTGATATGCATGGTTCTTATTTAAAATATATGCACACACAGAAATTGAAATGGGTGTTAAGGCACCAAAACACACAATTGTCGAATCTTTATATTTGTATTTTATTCCAAATTTCAAAACATTAAAAATTCCACAGAAACATCTGCTTCATTTGCACTTGATCAAAGGTGTTGTACACTTCTAACATATAACAACTACAACTATCCAGGCCCCCTTACAAAAGGGAAGGAAATCAATAAATCCCAAACAAACATATATTGTCAAAGCGTATCAGCACTCATTAAATTGTGATTCCTCAGGTGGGGGTAGCACAGATCTCCGACACGTTTCGCTGTTTGACATATAAGGGGGTATACACCACAGTAACCCCCAATTCATTGTGTTAGAATAGATACCTGATTTCTCAGATGTATAGACCAGAAGAGCCATGCACCTGAACAACACCAAGCAAACACCGTGACTGCAGACCAAGGGGGGTATGAAAAAAACAGAACATCCCCAGAACAGGTCAATGGATTTACCCGGGCCTGTGAAGAGTGTGTGTGTGTGTGCGCATATGTGTGTGTGTGTGTGTGTGTGTGTGTGTGTGTGTGTAAATATTCCGAATATGTGGAACGAACAAATCATATCATCAATTGGCGAAACAAGACAAAACAAAGCAAAATAAGATGGGAACACCAGCCTTACCCCAAATACCTTCACTATAGGGAATGTCACAGATAGGGTTCCAGGCACACTGGACAGCCTAACCAGGATGTCAAAAATCTGTGGAGGAGATATCTATATTATGTAATAATATCTGTATATTCGCTGTAACAGATCAGATTCACCCAATCTAACCAATCCAAAGAGTCGAGTATCTCTACATACATATTACACATCACTGCTCTTGTTATTGTGCATGCCCATCAGCGGCCTCTATCTTTTTCTCTAGCTGGCCTGTTCTCTAATGTAACATTGATTTCCTCTGTTTATGACAGGAGATCTGTGAGGACATCTCCGATCACGTGGAACAAATCCATGCTTTGCTGGACACGGAGTTCTCCCTGAAGCTGCTGTCTTATTCTGTCAATGTGATTGTGGACATCCATACGGTGCAGCTCCTGTGGCACCAGCTCCGGGTGTCTGTGCTGGTCCTGAGGGAAAGGATACTACAAGGGCTGCAGGACAGCAACGGCAACTACACACGACAGACCGATATCCTGCAGGCGTTCACCAAGGAGGACCAAGAGGCAAGTTTATTACAACTAGATGATAAGAGAAAAGGATGGCGATGCCACCCACAGCTTCCAGCTGTCATTTTCATAGCATAGATTAGATTAAATAGTAAATGCGACTGTTATCGTAGTCAGGACCTCCAGTTTTTCTTTCCTTCAGTTTTGATAAATCTGGCCTACAGGAACAGAGGATGATGGGTATACAGAATAGGTCAGGATATCTTAGTAGATAAAACAAATACAACTTAATTTCTATTAAATACAGCAAGTCCAGTTGCCTTGACTTATTCTTTACAGATAATTAAAGGAGAACTATGACATGAGTGATTTCCACTCACGTCATAGTTCTAAGCCGACCTGTGACAATGAGACTGTCACAGGTCGGTTCAGTAGATCGGGAGGTGAGGGAAAACATACCGGGTTCCCTCACCTCTCTATCCTGTCACGGCTCCATGCCGTGACAGGGGGAGGGGCTGGATTCCCCTCTCCCCGCTCCGATCTGCCAGCGCTGACTGGCGGAACGGACGGGGGAGGGGGCGGGTACAGCTGGCTCTGCCTCTAGATAGGCAGAGCCAGCTGTCACTCACGCAGCTGGGCGGATCCCGTCATCTAAGTCGGGATCCGCTCCAGGTGCGGCGTCTCAGTATACCGCGAGCTGTAGCTCGCGGTATACTGAGCTTAGGGTGATGGGAGGACGCTAGTTTGTGTCCTCCCGTTACCCCAAGGAGAACTATGGGGAAAAACACTGACCCCATAGTTCTCCTTTAAACTGTACTTTCACTTACAGGTGATATTAAAATCAATGATCAATATGTTAAATAGTGTTCTTTTTTTGAGACCTTTGATGTCCCTCAAATGTATTTCCTAGTTCTACTTGAATAACACAATGTTATGTTAACCTCATTTACCATCAAAGAACAGGGATTACATCAAGCTAAATTGTACTTCTCCTGTAGTTCTTACATTAAAAATGTATTCCAGTAAAAGTAACTTGTAGCAAAAACCGCTGGCATTTGCAGTAGTGCTGCATGGTGGCACTTCTAAAAATTAAGGTTTCTTAAGAGTTTTTTTAAATGTGGTTATTTTAATTTTTACAAAACTATCCTTTTTTATTTTTTAACAGGATAGGCTTGATGCCCTAACAGAAGTAGATGGCTCCGGTCAGTTGACCATTCGATGCCCCCCAGATTACCTCTCTCTGGACTGTGGGATCACTGCCTACGAACTCTCAGACTACAGTCCCAGGGAGGAGGACACCCCACCTCCCCCTGCTAAACCTCTGGAGGACTGGACATACAGTGCTATGCAGCAGGAGTTTCCAGAATTAGTTAAAGGCCCCGGTCTGCTAAGCGTGGCTACTGAAAAGGAAGATCCCCTGGATTCTGCAATGGAGAACGAGTCTCTGCAACACCAGCTGGAGGAGACAGGACAGCAGACTCTCAAGGCTTTCCTTTCCAGTGAAAGCTCCACACCAAAAAGGCCTCTACAGGAGGGCAGTGACCATGGTGGAGATTCTCCCACTCGGCCTTCACTACCAAAACGGGGACTGTTCCTGAATGATTTGACGGATTGGGTGCAGTCAGACAGTCTAACTTCCGTTGACATGAACTCATCCCTGCCAGTTTGCCCTACATCCCCCATCAAGCACTTCAGTCTTAGCGTGACAGCCACATATTCTACTAATATTCCATCATCTCCTAAAAGCCAAGTACCTGAAGAGCATGACATGGCACAGAATATGGGGGAGGATGCCAGTCAAGTGCATCAGTGCCCTGATGGTAGCGCATCCCCCATCAATTCTAGTCACTCCCACTGCAGCACACCAAATGAAAGTCAGCGAGACCTGCAGAATAATAGACTGCCAGACTCACCGCCCCAGGAATTAGGGACAGACAGCTGGTATGGGTCTGATGAGTTCCTGGCTTTACCTTCACATTTGCACCAAACAGACCTTCTTGCCTTGCGCCTTGGTAGCCTTTCACAGTTGGTATCTCCTACACCTGGAGAGCCCCATCCATCATTCCGAGATGTGGAGGATTGGGAGATCAGTTCAGGATCAGAGGTTGGGCCCAGTTCACCCCGATGTCTCTCTCCCAGTACCCAAAGTGACATAGCCTCATATACCAATGGCAGTGGACGATCAACTCCACACCTTAGTGGGTCAGGAAGCAGTGGGAGACAGAACAAAGCAGCACTTATACAGAGGTTGATGTGGGACATCCAGAGACAAGACAATGATCGACATGTGTGGGACAAAATCCAGGTGAGTGAATTCCCAGTGGAAGAGATGTCAATCATATTGCGGCCCAAACTTTTGGAAACGTAAAATGGAACTCCAGCCAAAACTTGGATTTGTTTAGAGCAAGGAAAGGGTTAGGATTCTTGTCAGGGTTTTGTTATCATTATCTGTGACCCTGTTGGTGAGCTTTTGTCTCACTTCCTGTGATAACCGTCACCGGAATAGGAACTGTGATATTAATTATGGGCACTGGAGCACTGGAGGTGAAATCTTTCCAACGTTTTAAGTACTTAGACAGCAGTAGATAGTGGAGTGGGGAAGAGTTAGAACTTCTAAAACACGGACAATGCTCTCTGTGTTCCTGTTGGGGAAAAGCTTTATCAGTTCCTTTCCAGAAGACAGTAGTTGCTGGGGCAGGAAGTGAAATAAATCTTCGCAATGGGCACATGAATGATAAGGGCAAAAAAGAACTTTCTCCATTCTTTCACCCAAAAAGTTCAACTTGAAGGAAAGTTTTTTTACCATCTTTATAAACAAAAACTTTACAACACATTGTATACTTTCATATCTTTGTATTGAAATGCAAATTTTAAGCATGAGCAGAATTCTACTTTAAAGCAAACCTGTACTGACAGCAATTCAGCAGCTTTTTATTACAGTCCACGTATCATTGCAGAGATTTCCCTTTGCATCATCTGAAAATACTATTTGCCAGGCTGTCTCTGACTTCAATATTTTGAGTCAATGACCTGGAACAAGTGTTCAGATCATATTTCCTCCAGGTCAGTGACTCAGAAAATACAGGCAGGCAGTAAACTAGTATTTTCAATAGATCCTACTACTTTCTCAGTAGTAGGATCTTTGTTGACGTGATAAATAATTCAGGCTATTTGGTCTAGCAAGAGCCATCTGGGATAGCCATCTGGGTTGGTATTATAATAATAATAATAATATAAATAATGAGATAGTGAATAACATTAGTGGAGTGGGAAAAGTCTAGAAAGGACAGGAAAAATTACATCATCATTATTTGACAATAGATTGCAAAATACAGTAACCCATCACAACCAAACAACGAATAAAATGTGCCCTCTGTTCTGCTTATTTAATAATAAAGTATAAGAAGTGCTTATTTAATAATAAAGTATAAGAATATTCATATTCATATTCATATTCAAAGTAGTGTCCAGTCATCCACAACATCCCATTAGAATTCTAGTAGCTGAATGCAAACTAATTTCTTATTGGATGCTGAACACTACTGCTCATTACACTGAAGTGTTAAAAAAAAAAATCTTCTCTTCTATATGAAATGTTCACAATACCAGTATATTGCCATTATGATTCTTAGATACAACAATACATCCCTCTATTCAGTGGTGTATTTTGGTTTTGTGCTGCCCTAGGCAAGACTAAACTCGGGCACCCCCTCAATCTAAATTTGCCCCAACCCACCCTGTTCAGGACATGTAGGGTCACAGAACCTGGCCTTGGGGCGGCAGGGAGAGTAAAACCTGGCTCTGTACGTATATAAAAAAATAAAGACACAAAGGGCTAACATAACAGTGTTTTACTAAAGCACATACCTCAGACATGATGATAGTGCGGTATAAAAGTGATTACAGTCACAAGTAATAATTGGTCCTGGGCCTTTTGGATGAACAAAGGTTTTTAGCTGAGGCATGCATGGAATTATTATAGGCCAATCAAACAAGGCAAAAATGATTTGTTTCCTTATATGAAGGCAAACAACTGAGAAATTGTTTAAGGGTCAGACTTGTTCTCTTTGTTTGTTCATTTGTCTAAGGCTGGAACATAATACATTAATCTTTAGAACTGCAGTAGGCCTCCCAGAAATTAGTTGAAACCTATACTCCTTTATGTGCAACAATGTTATCAAGGATGCTGTGCAGCTTGACAGTTTCTTTAATAAATGTCAGTGGTTTTGAATGCTTTTTTGTGTGTGCCTGTATTGGAGAACAAGGTGTGATATTTTTGTTAGCTACAGCAATGATGGTAAGAAAGTCATCTAAAGGTGAAAGTTCAGTGGTAAATTACGTGGCTTTAGAAAGAATAGAAAGCAGGCAGAATCAACCCCAAGCTGTATATCTGGTATCTTTTCTCTCTGATATGGTTCTTAGGGTCTGACACTTTACTTAGAGCATAGGACTCTTGTTACTCCACAAAGACACATAGAAGTGATCATCTTGGCTTTAGATACTGAAACGACATTTGATAGGCTGGCATGATCTGAAGCCATGGGTGAATTAGCTTTTCAGGAATTAGACATTTCGGTATTTGTGCTGTCTGGATAGAAACACTGGGGTGTTTTCCTGACACTCAATACAACTGAAAGAGGAACTTTCTTTATTAACCCTTGCAGTGAGGCTACCCCCGCACTGCAAGGGTTAAGTGCTCGTTTGTGTCCTGGTGCTAAAATAGCAATTATGCCCACCCAAAGCTTCAAGCCGGCCAGCTGTCTGCAGCCTGTCTCCCCCATCCTGCAGCATTGGAATCTTCTTCAGCGTCCTCACGTCTATACACTGTGTATGGCATGTAATGATTTACGTGACCTTAGACCGCTGCAGAAGAGGTGGAGAGACTTTGGAATGACCGATCTAAGAAGAAGCCAACTCCGAGCTTTGGATGAGTCTAACTTTTTTTTAAAACAAGGACACAAACAAGCTTTTAATGCTTGCAGTGCGGAGGTAGCTCCTCTACAAGGGTTAATAAAAATATCTTTGGATTTCTTTTTTAAGGAGTAGTTTGGATGAGCTACAAAATGTCTTCAACATTAAAGAACAAATCCACCTAAATGTAACTAACTACTACTAGTTATACTATGACCTGGATAAATGAGAACCTTCACAGACACTTTCATTGGGATATTTTGCCGATTTCTGTTCTATCTTTTTACACGGTTATTCACAAAAGGGTGAAGAGTTTGGAGAAGGCAGGTGAAGTGGACAATCTAGGACAACATAGCTGATTTGGAAAGATTCTCCAATTCAGCTCACTTTCCAGTTCTGCTATGTTGTCCTAGATTGTTCACGTTTCTCCTGCCTTCTCCAAACCCTTCACCCTTTTGTGAATAACCCTCTTGTATCTAAATTTGTTCAGACTATATTGCTGGTAGAACCTGTCCTCTCTTTATCCTATTGGGTTAAAATGATGAGTCTTCCTTATTTCAGAATCTGTTGATTAAAATGACCGTTCCAACCTCTCTTTGGGTTAGTTCAGAAACCAGAAACTGCATCACAACTGCGTGCGTCTGCGCAGTTGCACTGTAAAGCGTTTTAATGCATTTGCAATGTGTTTGCAATGCATTTTTTTAACTGCACAAAAAAATGTTAATTAGGCATGTAGGTCACTTCCTTTTCCTGTCAGAGCATTTCCTATGTTTGTTTTGTTCGTTTGGGAGCTCAGTCATGCTTTCTTCATTGGCTGGTATGGTGCTAGTTTTGGTGCTATTCTTTGGAGGTGGAGTTGCGAGTGGAAGCAAAATTTTGCAGAACTTTCTGTTCGTAAACCAAATTGTTTGCGAGCAGAAGCATTCGTGAACCGAGGTATTACTGTATTTAGAGGAATAACAAATGTGGGTTAAAATTAAATAGGGATATAGCTTTTCTTGAGACATCAAGATAATAGAAATTTTATCAAAAGACATTTTATTCTTATATTTAGATGTCAGATTATTTTTTTATAATAGCACTCCCTTAGTGTCTCTATTGGGGAGTCCAGATTTTGTACCAGATAACCATGATCCATACTTCAGAACTTTTTTTTGTTAAAGCTGAACTCCAGCTTGGCGGGGCGGGTTGGGGGGGTTAGGGGTGGTTTTTTCTTCTGGTTCGAGAATTTTTTTTGTTTCAGGTGGTTGGCTCGCAGGCTAGGACTACGGCTGCTTTTAAGCAAGGCTATAGCTAGGTGCTGGAAGAAACCGGCCCCGCCAGAACTCTCCTTTTGGAAAAATTGGTGAATGACAACCTACCTCTGTACCAGGACACGTATGCCAACAGGGGATGTCCAGGGAAGTTCCATAAAATCTGGGATAGCTGGCTAGACTGCTCTAACTCGGCAGTAGACCTGGATGCACACTCTTAAGGGGGACCATTGCCCCTGTGGGGAGCTCTAGACCTGTCTGGTCCATGTCCGACCTGAGAATCCGGACGAGATAGGTGCCCCATTGTCTGGCTCACCCATCACATGACCTCCTGCCAAGGCCGGAGCCCCTGGCGGGTATATAGGAGGGCTGTGGGAAGGCCTGGCGAGCCCCGTTGGGGAATGATCCCCCACCTGTAATGTAGAACCAGAATTGCTCCTTGTTTTTTTTGTTTTCTTTGCCCTTCTGTTACTTCCTTTATTTTCTTTTTCACGGCTATTGAGGCTGTATTGTTATGTTAAATGCACTGCTATGCATGGTGCCATTAATGTTAGGCACAAATAGCGTGCACAGTTGTACTATTTGCTTGTAAAACAATAAATTATTTTGACAAAAAAAAATAAAAAGCTGAACTCCAGGCAAACTGCTAAATACACAGTTGAAATACAAATAAGGGAGCTGTTTTACCTGCTAAAGGATTTGTGTTTCTGGCCATCTAGTATTATAATTTACATAGCTCTGCCACATAGTATCACCATGTCTGCCAGCATGGGAGACCTGCTCTTTTGCTGCCACAGCTAAGTCATACAACTAGTTCTTGTCCATGTCCTCTGCTTATGTTTGTGCAGCAAAATGAGAAGCAGCAGACTAATCAGCTTATCTCTATGCCAGTCTGCTCTCTCTACCTGTCAGCATGTCCCTTATTGGCACTGTAGCATAACTGATGTTGGCTTAGTCTGAGCTCTGCTGTACAATATTCTGCAAGAGGCTGATACTAGATTAAATACAGGTACTTACACTGTTTGCATGTAAAAATAGCTTTATTAATATATTAATGAATGCAAAGCTGCATTAATGTGTATTTTATATATACCTGCAGTTCAACTTTAAAGGTGATTGTATAGCCACTCAGATAAGTAGT